GCAAAGGCCTCGTCACTCGCGCGCCCTCTCTGCTGTCGCCTGTCCGAGGGACAGAAGGGGGGGTCTTCTCCACCACCCCCGCCCTCATTTCTGCCTCCCAACGGAGCTGGGTGTGTGCTGGGGCGGGGGGGGGGGCGTCGCTTCGGCTCCCCTCCGGAGCCATTCAGGGCAAAAGCAACCAGCAGGGTCTCCAAGCCGCCTCACTCGGAGGGCAGCGCCTGTGGTTTCAAAGCCCGTCTTGGACCGGCCTCGCTCCCAGAGGAAGCCTTCAGCAGATGCCCCCCAGTCCTGGACAGCTGGCAGAGGCCGCGTCGGTGCTGAACTAGGCCGAGCGACTCAACGCTTTCGGCAGCACTGACAAAGCTGCGCCTGCCTTCCTCAACTCCGGCGGGGCAGAAGGAAGAACTTCTGAACGTGTAGACCAGCTCTTGCGAGGAGGGGGAGAAGGGGGCGGCGGGAGCGCCGCCGCGCCCGGTCGTGTGAATTAAAACGCCGTTTCTGTGTCAGCTCGGCTCTTCCGCTTCTTTTCCTGCGAGGGGGAAGGGTGGGGTCAGGACCCTTCGCCCCCGAGCAAGCCTCCAAGGGGGAATTGAAGCACCGACCCCAGCCAAGGAGAGAGGATCTGGGGCGTCAGAAACCCAGAGATTCCTAAGGACGGAATGGGAGGGGGACGTTAGCCCGATGCCCCCTTCGGGGAGTCAGCCCAGGGACTTCCGTGGGGCCTCCCTCTAAGCAGGCCCGCCTGGCGTGGAAACTGAGTTAAGGATCCAGGGTTGTCTGCTGGCCGTGGGTCAAGGGGGGAGGGTGGCCTGGGATTAAAAGGCGGAGCAAGAAGAGCTTGTCTCTCAATCCGGAGCCTCTTCCTTTCCTCCACTCTGTCCCCGTTCAGACGCAGGAGCGCGTGGTGGGTTCTCCACACGCCCCTCCCCCCAAGGTTCCCCTCTGCCCCCGTTAAAAGCAATGATGTAACGTTCCCGGGGCGTTAAGCGGATCTGGAAGGCTGAACTCAGAAACGCGTTAGGGCCGGGAAAGCAGCGCGCTCTTCTCTTGAAATGCCTTTCAGCCCTGCTGGCTCGGCGGAGCCTCCATAGGCAAAGGCAGTCTACTGTACTTTTGCCCACCGTGTAATGGGGGCGCGTGGGAGGCGCTCGCCGCTTTCCCAGCCAGACAGTCGGGAGCGAGGGGTCGCGGAGGGCGAGGCGTGAAGAGCTCGCTTTGCAAGAGACGGGGACCGGCGTTCACGCTTTCCGACGTGCTTCCCCGCGAGCGATAGAAAGAGCTTTAGCTAAAGCGCAAGTTAACCTGTCCACGCCGGGTTCTCCCTCGACTTTTCCTGGGCCAAAAAGCAGACCGACATTCGTTCGCCCCTCTCCCCGACCCTCCACACCCTTCGGGTTTTCTCTCAAGGCCAAGTCTCCTGTTCCAGACGTCGCAGCAGCGGGCGAGCAGTCCCGCTCGAGGGCCCAGCGGCGCAACCCCTTTCCTGGAGCAGGAATCTCCGGCGCGGCCCCTCGCCCCATCCCAGCCCCGTAGGTGAACAAACAGGCTTCTCACTTGTCGCCGGGGCGACCTACTGTCCCCTCTCCAATCTGCCCAAGGGGTGGGGGTCGAAATATCGTTTCCACCCGGTTGGGCGGCAGCTTCCAGCGGCAATACTCGTAGCCAGCTTCTAACTCGGTTAAGCTTAACCCACGAAGGCCACCCTGCTCGCTGGTCAGGCGAGGAAGCCAGACGCGGCGAGGGGAGGGGGCATAATCTTTCCGGGAGGCGGCGAAGACCCCGCGACGTCCCCTCCGAGCGCCCTTTGCGACTCCTCGGGAGCTGTCCCCGCCCCGGGGGTGCTGAAACCGCTCGGCCTCCCGCAGGGCACGCCGCGCTCCGGGGCCGGCGGGATCACAGCCGGCCGGTTCCCCCTCCTGGGCGCGTTCTCCCCTGGGGAGGCAGAGCAGCGTGTGTGTGTGGGGGGGTCCGGCTCTCCAATTTAGGGTGTTGGATGCCCACCGGGCGGTGCTTCCCAACCCAGAACCCGCCCGGGAAAAGTTTTCGACAGTTAGCCGGCACGCTCAGGCGCGTCACACCGAAACGATAAAAGCAAGTTTGGGACCTCGGAGACTTCGCCTTTTTTTCCTTTCTTTCTTCCATTCTCTCCTTTAAAAAAAAACAACTGCTCCCTCCCCGAGTACATCGGGGAAGCCAAGCCTCTGACCCGGGAAGGGGGGAGAGAGAAAGGGACGCCGGCGAGCGTAGTTTGGGGGGGGGGCTGGGGTTGTTGGGGGGGGGCAGCTGAGCCACGGCACAGGCGCGCGATGTATGGAGCAGATTCCGAGGGAGCGGCTGGGAGAACCGCCTTCCGGCTAATAATCCTAATAGTAACCACGGCGGCGCTTCTGGAGGGGGTCGCTCCCTTTTATCTACGGCTCTGCTACTGCGGCAGGGGCGGGGATGAGACCCGGAGACCCCCTCCCCTTTTCTTCCAGCCCTTCTGCTCGCTTGAGAGTCCCCTCCCGCACAGCTCACTTACCTGCCACCGACCTCAAAAGGCGAGGAGGGGGCGTCTCGAGGAATCCGGAGGGGCGGCCAGCCCCAGTCGGCGTCTCCCCCTCGTCTTGTCGCCGCCGCCGCCACCGCCGCTTCTCCGCCTCTCGATCGCTCTCGCTCTCTTGCGCGCCGCTACCGCTGCCCCCTCCTGCCCCTCCCCCAGCGGCGGCTTCTTCTCCCGGCCAGCCAGCCAGCAGCAGCAGCCTCTCGCCCGCCCGCCTGCACCCACACCCAGACGAGAAATCCTTGGGCGGCCTGGAAAGAGAAGGAGCAAGCGCCTCCGCCTCTCCCTCCGGCCACCGTCACTGCGTCAAGCCGGCGGCGAGGGGAGCTCCCGCGATCCGAGTGGAGTCCGAGAGCGCCGGGGCTCTGCTGGTCTTGAAGGAATCCTGGAAGCCCCGGGAAAGCGGTGGGCGAGCCAAGCGCGGGCGGGGAACAGCCCTTCTCTCCCTCCGCCTCCTTTTTCAATTCTGATCCCCTCCTCTTTCTCTTCTCCGCTCTTGAAAGGCCCCGAAAAGGGGGTGGCCGGCGGGGGGGGCGTGTGTGTGTGTGTGTGTGTGTGTGTGTGTGTGTGTGTGTGTGTGTGTAGGCGAGGCGAGCTATGGTCAAGGAGCCTCCGAGCGAGAGCCAGTCCGAGCTTCTTTCGCGTCCCTCGCGCGATCCCAGGTTTGATCGTGGAGTGGGGAAAGTGGAAGGGATGGGGTGGGGCGGGGGGGAGGGCCTGGAAATGTGCGTCGTGTGTGTGAATGGAGGGAGGAGACGAGGGAAAAGCGCGGCGGAAGGAAGGAAGGAAGGAAGGAAGGAAGGAAGGAAGGAAGGAAGGAAGGAAGGAAGGAAGGAAGGAAGGAAGGAAGGGATGCGTGCTGCAACGGCTCCGGCGGAGAGCTGGGTTGCAAGCGGCAGAGAAAAGGCGACAGCAGCTCAAAAAACGAACCGCTTGGCGGCGGCTGAGCCACAAGCGGGCGGCGGCGACGGCAGGAACCGCAAGCTAGTAGCCTTCCGCCGGGGAGTCCTGCTCTTCTCCCGGCTCTCCTGCCAGCTGCACCCGGATAACTCTTGCAAGGAGCAGCCGCTGCAAACTTTCATCCCTTTCGGGGTCTCCCTCTTCTTCCTCCGGCTGAAGGACGGCGGCGGGCGGGGAGGGAGGGGGAGAAGGCAGATGCCGTTCCTCGCCGGTACAATAATCGGTTCCTTCCGCTACTGGGAGGCGCCTCTGTTGACCGAAAGGACGCGGTGCAGAGCCGTCTTCGGCCGTTGGTCCCCAGCGTAGGAGAGGAACCGCTTTCTCACGACCGTAGAAACACGGGTCTTGTTCTCCGCTTCGCTTTCTCCCCTCACCCGGCTCTTCCTAGAAAGCTGCCCTGGGATGGCCGCTCCCCTCGAGTGGAAGAGCCCGGGCTAAACTCGACTTCCACGGAAACACACGGATTCGCCGTTCTGGTCACTAAGCGAGCCCTGCGCCATCTGAGCGAGCAGGAACAGAGGCGAAGACCGCGCTCCGAAAGAGGCCCCCAGCTGCGCGGAAAGCTGAGATCAAGGTGAGCGCTGGGCAAAGAGGCACAGAAAACACAACCAAACAGATGTCAAGCCAATTAAAAAAAAACGACATTCCGAGATGCAAATGAGCCGATTTTGTGATCCGCCGTCGGCCTGTTGGCTGGAGAGGAGGGGAGCTGCAGTCCAGCCTAGGCAGCCAGAAAGGGTGGGTGGGTGCCCTAGTCGCCCCCTGTCCCAGCTGTGCCCCGGCAGGGGTGGAGCCAAAGCCGAAAGGGGACCCACAACCAGGACTTACCCTTCCTCCTTCGCAGATTCTGCTGCCCTTGGGGCTGGCACAGAGAAGGCTGTGCAGGCAGAATAAATTGAGTCAGAATAATTAATTCTGGCTCTTCACGCCAAGCCAGAGAAGGATACCTGGTGGTTTAAGAGCAGGACAAAACACTTTAAACCTCTCCCACCCAACTTAGGACCTCTGTGGAGCTTACAAGAAGGCGCGTTCTGGGTTGGATTGCTCCACCAAGTGGAAGTCCGAGAGGGAATTCATGAAGTGTCCCACGAGGGCACCTCGCACTCTCACCTCGCAGGAGCCCAACTGGGGCTTACTGGTTTGAGATTGCTAGGTATATACTAAGCTTCCTTCGAAATCCTAACTTCACCCTGAATGTCTGTGGAGATGCTCAGCCGTCCAGGTCATGGTTGCCCCAAAGTTGCTTTTTCAAGAGGCAACCGGACTTTCTGATTTTTCCTTGAAGACGTTTCGCTTCTCGTCTAGGAAGCTTCTTCAGCTCTGAAGGAGAAGAGGAGCTGAAGGAGCTTCTTGGATGACAAGCGAAAGGTCTTCAGAGAAAAAGCAGGAAGTTCAGTTGCCTCTTGAAAAAGCACCTTTGGGGCAACTTCACCCTGACTTTCTTGCAGGTAAGGGCAGATGGATGTGTTCGCCAAATTGATGTAGCCACCCATCTCACCTGAGATGTTTCCAAACTGGATCTCAAGGGTCAGCCGGAAAGAACCGAAAGACTAACCCACTCTGATCCCAAGGAGAAAGAGGTCCCAGATCTTCACAAGTCCGTGTGGTTTCAACAACCTTCTTGAATCCCTCCATAGAGACCAGCAGCCTGGATCCCAGCTAGGCAAGGCAGGTGCTGATCAGATCTGGATTCCTTCAGCAGATTCCTCCAGAGGAGACCTCACCAGGATCAAACATTTCTTGCAGTCCTTTATCTCTTTGCCATTTGATGCCAAGGGATCTGAATTGGAATCTGCTAGATCTAAGGAGAAATGGTGGAGCTGGCTGTTAGCTCATGGCTCTTCACAGGATCATCCTTTAGAATGTTTTCCATCTGAAGGGGGCACTTGGGACCACAACCACCACACCCCATTATCCCCGCCAACCCACAGTGACTAAGTTGCCCTCAATGTCCTGTTTTCCTACTTCTGAAGGAGAGTCTTCATTTAACAAGCCCATTTTTATTTTTATTATTTTTGTAAATAATATTAGGGAAGCAACTGATGGAAGTAATGGAGTCCGGCCTCTGATGTTTTAAACACACTTGCTTCAGAATAAGTCTGATTCAGTGCTGGAGTAGGGTACACTCTGATCACCAATGCTTATATACTTAAAAATAAAACGTCATGGATTCTTCTGTGTAACTAAGACCCGATCTAAACTTTCTGACCCATGAGCCACCTTCTTACAAGACAGTCTTAGAAGCTTCTACTCAAACACCCCTGTGGATTTGAATCAGAATAGATCTGGAAGGGACCTTGGAGGTCTTCTAGTCCAACCCCTTGCTCGAGCAGGAGACTCTAGGAAGAGAGCTGAAATTAGCTGATAAAAATGCCAAGGAAATAATTGTGCAGTCTTCAAATTAGTAACACAGTTGTTAAATGAACCTGACTTCCCGCATGGACTTTGTTTGTCAGAAGGTCGCAAAAGGGGACCATGTGACACCCCACCCCAGACACTGCGACCATCGTAAATGTGAGTCAATTGCCAAGCATCTGAATTTTGATCACCTGACCCTGGGGATGCTGCAATGGTCATAAGTCTGGAAAACTATCTTTATATGTTTTAGAGGACTTAGCCACCATAATAGCTTGATCTTGGATGTAAAGGAAGTTCTGATCTGGCCTGGTGGTTTCTGTTGTTGGTTGTGTGTGTGTGTGTGTGTGTGTGTGTGTGCGCATGCGCATTGTGTGCATGGTTTTTTTTTCTCAATCTCCGTTCTCTGCCAGGAGAAACATGTTTCTCAGAATTTGGAATGCAGCTTTATTTCAACACCCCTTCTTCACTTTGAACAGAGATGCTGAATATCTGAAGACAGTATCTCCCGGCTTGCTTATTTTAAAGAAGTAATGATTTCCGTGTCCTCTCCTGACCCCTGTCTGAGTGGGGTATGTGTGTGTGTGCCTGTGTTCGCACAATCTTGTGCATGCAAGGAACCATTTGCAGTTAAGAGAAGCTCCCAAAAGCAAATCTGGAAGCCAAAAAAAACCCCAAAGAAGTTGCAAGCGGGGGCAATAATTTCCTCGAAGATAACATTCATCCAGCTTTGACTGAGAGAGAATAAATATTTAACGCCGTTTTCTGGTGTTTGGATGTAAAATTTAAGAGCTGCAATTTGCCAGCCGGGAAGGGCTGGTAGGGAAGATCCCGTAAGAAGTGGGCCACTTAAAAGTGATTTGAATCAGAATAGATCTGGAAGGGACCTTGGAGGTCTTCTAGTCCAACCCCTTGCTCGAGCAGGAGACTCTAGGAAGAGAGCTGAAATTAGCTGATAAAAATGCCAAGGGAATAATTGCTCCATTCCCTTGATCAGATCTATTTTCAATGTTTGTAAGGTTTATATCTCCTCTGTTCTCTAGGATCATAAGATACCTTACAGGAAGATGTCCTTTCCATTTATCCTTCCGACATTCTTCTTCATCCCTGTGAAGCAACTAAATCTAAAAAAGAGTGCCTCAAAGTCATTCAGTGAATTTCCATTGCTTTCTGCTTCTGATTGTCCATCGATGTAATGGATAGACTGATCAATATAGTTCTGCAGAGTCAAGGTTTAACTGTATGTTTTAAGGTTGGGCTAAATATTTTTATAGATAACATCCTACTTGCTTTTTATTTTCCTGATAGCTTTGTTCTCCTTTATTTTGCCTCGTTTTCTTCTTCCCTCTTTTTTTTTTTTTTTTTTTTTTGTATCCTAAGGTATACAGGAAAAGTTACTGATTAGCTGGCATAAGACTGTACCACACATATTTTTTTTGTAAACTTTAATAGATAAACTTTAAATAACGCAACATATATCTCGCTTTCCCTGGTTGAATTCAGTATTTTTTTTTTTATCATGGGCCATGCTGGGTTTCTCTTCATGTACGGTAAGATGTATAACAAAGAGCACATAAAATATGAGCAGAGATGAAGTTGAGTAAGTGGGCATTTTTATTTAGAAGTAAAAGTCTTCCTTCCTTCCTTCCTTCCTTCCTTCCTTCCTTCCTTCCTTCCTTCCCTCCCCAAGCAAAAACAACAACAGAAGCAGCCTCTAGCTTAAGCAACAAAATTACAGCAGCACCAATGCCTAAATGTTTCCCCAATTCCCTTTGCAAACACATTCATCTGCAAGGAACCCAGCCAGCCTGGCCTTTTAGCCCTATATTTAGTCAGATCTAAAACAGACATTGATAATTGGGTTAAAGTCAAGAAGGAGCCAAGCAAAAAAAGAAAAAGAGGGGGAAGGGCGAATAGCCCAGATCTATTGGAAAATGCCTTCCCATTAGGCTCATTCTTAAGAGGATACCTTGAAACCACTGACAGCCTTCTGTGTGCCACAGCAGACACACTGTTGACACAGGAGGCTCAGAGAAGCCGAACAAGGAAAACCAGAAAGAAATCAGTTAATAAAACATGTGCTGTTTTACCCAATTATCTGGGAGCGCAGCAGGGAAGGTGGCTGTCAGTGCCCACACTGCCTTCCAGAGGGAGACCTAAGAAGAGAGAGAAAGGGGACAGAGAATTCGGTGAGCAGGAAAGGTTAAAATGCTGGAAGCGTGCCTAGATGACACCGGGACACTTTGGCTGGTCATCAAGCTGAGGGGCAGAGTTTAGTAACCTCTGAGTCACCAGGTCTGCAACTCCTGGGTTTCCCAGACAATGTGAGGGATAGCAAAGGGCTTGAAAAAACACAGGATCTGCACAGCGTCGGTTATGCAACCTTGTGCAACGCACAGTGCAATTAATGGTTGGTATTCCCTCGAATGATGCATATCACTCAGCTCAGGGCCCCGTGGCTAATCAATTCATGGTGGGGGTGTCTGTTCCGAGGGAAAATAGCTTGTTCCTCGTCAGCAGCTGCATTATTATTACCTGCTAGAAATATGTCCACATCCCAATTTCAAAAGGGGCAGGCCAGAGCCCTGGGTAGGCAAATCGAAGGATATAACTTAAGACAAACAAGCTAACAGTAAACCACAGGCCAATCATGGAAGCATAAGAAACACTGACAGAGCAAGCTAGTTTTATATAAGCAGAGAGCACTGATGATGTTACCTAGCAGGGTCATGAAACGTCTGCAAGAAAGCCACCCAGCTGAGAGAGCACCAAGGACCCCCCAATTCCTCCTCCTCCTCCTCCCTTTTCTTCTTCCCCACTCCACATACCCCACTCCCTTCTAGCACTGATGAGGTTACCTAGCTGGGTCATGAAACTTCTGCAAAAATCAACCAAGCTTAAAGAGCACCAAGGACCTCACAAACAAGTCTAGTCCATGGGACTTGACCTTAGCACGGAAGACCGTGGAAGTACACACAGCCTTCAGAGATGAACATCTGAGCCCTCTGAAGGCTCACAGGAGCACTCTTGGCATTGATGTTGCCATCTAATGTATGGAATGGACAACAGTGAGTTTACAATGGCCAAGCAGTTCTGATTTCAGCCACATCCTGGATGAAGAATTCTTTCCAGACTTGAATTCCATCATGAAAGCATATCGAAGAGGAGAATACGATGAAAAGCTTGAATTGGAGGGTCCAGAAAGGAAGTTCAGCAGACATTTCTCACCCAGTGCTGCACGTCTGAGGAACACTGGTGCATGTATGATAAGTGATCGTTAATGCAATTGAGGGGGGAAAATGATGACATTTTACAGACTGTTAGTCTTCTAAGTGGACTGTGCCTTGTTTTGCCAACAGCCAGGATATTTTACAACTGGGAAGGAAAGGTTGCCAAGTTGTGTACGTGCGTGCTGAAAAGCCCCTTCTCCACTTCAGTGCATTCCACCCAAATGCGCCTCAACCTAGTAAGGCAGAGTTAACAGAGGTATCATTGCTTCTGCTGGGAAATTCGGCAGCTTGGAGACACTGGGTAGCACAGAGCTACATGAAGCGGTTTTATGTGAAGAGGCAACTCAGCTCAGATGTGTGAGAGAAAGCAGGTGAGGACAGTTCCTCCTTAATAGCTCACAGAGGATATTGTAAAGGCTGGTGAAAGAATGTGGGGGGGGGGGTCTGACAAGACAGATGTCAGGCCCCAAACTAGGAATGAGATGTGGTGATTCTTCCAAGCTGAGCTCTTTATTGTTTTGTGCCTCTAGACAGAATCTTGCCAGACTGAAGACTCTACTATCTGCATCTACTCTGGGAACTATTAGGGAGGAACTGTCTTCACCCTCTTTCGCTCACACACATGATTTCTAAGCTGAGTTGCCTCTTCCCTATTGGGAATCCCCCTCCTCACTACATCCCATCACATCATTTGTGGATTTCTGCTCCCGGAATTCCTCAGCCACCATGTGTAGATTTCAGCTCCCAGAATCTCTCAGCCACCACACGTCAGGCCCCAAACCAAGAATGCCACGTGGTGATTCTTCCAAGTTGAGTTCTTTATTGTTTAATGCCTCTTGATAAAATCTTGCCAGATGGAAGTCTTTGCTATCTGCATCTATGATGTACTCTGGGAACTGTTGAGGAGGGGCCGACTTCACCCTCTTTCTCTCACACAAACTCTCTAAGCTGCGTTTGTCTCTTCCTCTGGAATGCAGCCCCTCCCTCTCAGGAATCCACCTCCTCACTACATTCCATCACAGATTGTGCTTCACCCGACTGTGCAGTGATATTGTATAATGCAGGGGGGGGGAAGGGAGAAGGAGGAGGAGGAGGAGAGGAAGAAGGAGAAGGAGAAGGAGAAGGAGAAGGAGAAGGAGGAGAAGGAGAAGGAGAAGGAGAAGGAGAAGAAGAAGAAGAAGAAGAAGAAGAAGAAGAAGAAGAAGAAGAAGAAGAAGAAGAAGAAGAAGAAGAAGAAGGAAGAAGAAGAAGAAGAAGAAGAAGAAGAAGAAGAAGAAGAAGAAGAATAAGAAGAAGAAGAAGAAGAAGAAGAAGAAGAACAAGAAGAAGAAGAAGAAGAAGAAGAAGAAGAAGAAGAAGAAGAAGAAGAAGAAGAAGAAGAAGAAGAAGAAGAAGAAGAAGAAGTAGAAGAAGAAGAGGCAAAACTGAGAGATGACTGGAAATGTCAGCATCCCATCTCCATGGACTCTGCTGGAGCTGGGTTACCTTGATAATTGGTGGAAGCCGAGGGCTGAGAACATGGCAATGTATTAAACTTCTTCTTGATGGCGTCTGCTGTTGATTTCTTCAGGGTGGCTCAATTCCTTGCTTTTTCCCTTCCCTTCCCCCCTCCCCTCTGTGTCTTCTCCCCCCCCCCCCACACACACACTCTGTTTCCCAGAAACTCAAATAAAAAGGCCTCAATTGCCCGAGGCCAGAGCAGTGAATCAGAAGCTCTGCGGAGACTGGATCCTCAGTCTTCATGGATAAAACTGGTCTCTTATTAGGTTTAATAACTGCAAGTTCCTGCTGGCGGATTGTGGCTGATTTGCTTTGTGTAATAGAAGCAGACGAGGGTCTCCTCCAGAAATAAAGGCGGGTGACATTGCATAGCTCCACCTCTTGGCTTGCATAAAGGCCTCCTGGATTCCTTAGCACAGAAGGCACCGACCTGGGAAAAGAGCTGCTAAGGTGCTGACCCAGAAGCCAGGCAGTGGTGAATTTGAGTCCTGCCTTAGGATGAAAGCCAGCTGAGTGACTTTGGGCCAGTCCTTCTCTCTTAGCCCAACCTACCTCACAGGGTCATTGTGGGATGGGATCTTTCTAGGTAGTGCAGTTCCAGTTGGGGTTAAGAAGAGGTAGCTTCAAAAAGTTTGCTAGTCAAAATGTGAAGAAGTCATCTATTGAATATGGAAGTTCTGCTCAGTGGAGTGCAATTCCTGGATTTATGGATCCTCCACCATTTTCCCTTCCTTCTCTGTACTGCTGACTGCTCTCCCCACCAGCTCTGGAGTTGGCATCCCATAATCTCAGTAGGCCTTGCCTTTCTCTAATGTCAACGTTGACTAGTCATCTGCTCCAGTGGGAAAGTGCAAAGCCTCCTTTGAAGAGCAAGAGCAGGAGATTGTCTCTTCCCATTTCACCACCTAGTTCAAGATTTCTCCAAATCTTTATGTCCCTGGTCGTCTTTTTTCCGGCGCTTAAAAAAAAAAAGCAATGTTTTTAGTTTTTCTTTCTAAGCAAGTCCTTCCATTCTAAGATGGGCCTTTTTCCCTGCTTCGGCTTCGCTATCATTTAGAAGATTAAGTGCCTAAAACTGAATAAGGTATTCTGTAAGTGGCTGCATCCACTGATAGCTCAATAGCATTATAATATCTGCTGCTCTCCGATCGTGGCCTCTCTTTTAATAAATCTTAGCATTTACTTCCAAATGGCCCATAAGCCTGATCAGACCACATTCCAAGTTCATTATTAGGGAACCGACTCCGCATAAACAGAGGAGATCTGCCATTTTCCAATTGGAGAAATTCTTGGGAAAAGGAGAGTAGCTCAGCCGTGGGGAGGGGATCTCACATCCTGGGATAGAGGAAAAAAACATGTCTGAAGATTCGAAGAGTTGAGGTAGACACCCTATCCTCCACCTAGATGGTGAAAAAGAACTCAGAGAGCAAAAGTTGGTCTTAAAACATTTTGGAAAAACTAGCTTTTAGGAGAAGAAGGAGGCCTTTCTCGACAAAAGGAGAAGGAGTGTGGGGGTCCTTGGTGGTCTCTGAGCTTGGTTGATTTCTTGCAGACATTTTATTATCCAACTAGCAAACCTCTTCAGTGCTAGAAGGAAGTTAGGTTTGGGGAGTGAAGGGGGAGAAGGGGAGGAGAAGGAAGAACAGGACTGTGGGGTCTTTGGTGCTTTTTGCAGACATTTCATTGCCAAGTTAAGTAACATCATCAGTGCTGGAAGGGAGTGGAGTTTGCAGGAGGAGGAGGAGGAGGAGGAGGAGGACGACTATGGGGTCCTTGGTGCTCTCTGAGCTTGGCTGTTTTCTTGCAGATGTTTCATTACTATGTAATGTTGAGTAAAAGGAGAAGCAAAGAAGAGAATTGACAGATTATTGGATCCTTTCTGGGAGTGGGAGACAGACCAAGAGTCAGTCACAGTCAAGAGGCCAGAGGCATGGCAGAG